ATGATTCAGGTGTCAGCCTAGCGCCTAATCATCTTTCTATCTATAGAAGGTAATAAATATTTCCGCATTATACAATTAGCGGGTATATTTAATCGTAATTTCTGAATAAAAGCCAAAATATACTCATCATAATGTATGGTTCATTTCACATCAACAAAGAAGCGAGCCTCACCAACATGCGATATGTACCAGCGTCTGATGTGAGTATACGGGTAGCGCGCCTTATCGATCAACAGTGGTCCCCAGTCAAATCAACTTCACCTGAACACTGAATGTGTGTTCATTCGCTTAAGGACTAAATCCTCAGTAATGTACCCGGTTAATTAGTCAGTTTATCTCCGAAAAAAGATGTCTTACAATTGATAACCTTGATGATGATGTTTTGTGTATTTAAAATGCTGATAACAGTGATGTTATAAAAAATATATATATAAACATTTCTCTGTAATGCTAAATACATGATTTATTCCTTTAGTTTAGGTCAGACATGTGACTTCTAATTCAGGCATGAATGCATCATGTGACTTTGATATTTGACCTTGAATATATATAACACAATATAAAGAGATCATAGAACACTATGTCATATGCCAAATGTCAGTGAGACTTTAGGATCAGATCACGGCTTGTTCTTGTCAAACAAAAACAAAAACCACATAAACAATAATGATCGTGATATTTTTATTTTATCGTCTTTACACATCCATAATGCGTACATGTTTGATCGTGTTTGTTACAGTGTATCTCATCAACAAAGTTACATTGATGTACATTGTATGGTAGATTTTTCATCATCGTTTTTACGCAAGTATACAATTTATTAGTTTATAAGAGTCATGAGTAAAGCTCAGTATTTTATAAATTTATTAAACACTGTCAACGGGAAAGTGCAAATTGAAATGAATAATTATTGATACACGGGTTGTACAAGAGAGAGGTGACTCTCATGGCCCAAGTGGTTTAGTGGATAATACTTTGGCTCTTGAAACTATGGGTACTGGGTTCGAGTCTCAGTGGGAACACCACTCACTGAATGAGGAAAGGAGACAGATACAGATGATGAGTCACAAAAGGGACGAAATGCGCGTCATGGATTTCAGTGTTAGAGTCACCACCCACCAGTTTACTTCAAGCTGAATAATCAGACGTTGTCGAAGCATCTTCACAATCAGCCAATATTTCAACCTGACGCTGAGCACTTGTGTTCAATCAGTCAACTGTAAATTGAATGAAATAATTACTATCCATATTTATTATTATTTTACTGCATCAGTTTGCATGAGTATTACTACTAGTTTTAAAACTGACCAGTCAGAAAATTGCGAAAGCTAATTCCATATTTGTATATGTATTTCTTTGATGATATTAGATGGTTGGAGGCAATCGTCAGGAAGCCCTGGACCTAGGTTTCGTTCTAGTTGGCACTCATCAGCGAGGCCTATCTGCAACCTTGAAGGAACTCATGTCCCTTCTGAGATTCGAACCCGCATCACCCAGTGCTGCAGTCAGAGATATGAGTTCCTTCAAGGCTGCAGATACGCCTTGCTGAGGTGGTATTCCTTGTCTGTTCTAGCTGGCTTCTGTAAGGTAATATGTTGGTAGTGATGTTGATTCATGTCTTTAAAATATTAAGATGTCCATCCATATTTCTACTTTACTCTGCGTTTTCTTCTACTGAGAAAAACATGTCCCGTATATATCTTGTATCCTGTATTTCAGACAGTAATGCGAAAAAAATTTTAGCAGTTATATCAGAATTAAATACATGCCCAGTTGGCGCTGAGTATAAATGCAGAATGGACAAGATGGCAGCATATGATTTCAGAAGCTAACAGTGAGCAAGATTTTTAATTCATAGGAAGTCAAATGCAGAATTGGTTAGAATGGTAGATTAACATATCTAATCCACAGTCTTCACTTATATAATTCTGCTAAACTAGCAAATCAGGTAATAAGACACTGGGTGCACCTGAATATTCTGTATAGAACAGATTGTCATTATAGGTTATGTGAAGTTCCAGTTACCAAAGCAATAGTATCCGGAACTATTAGTGACGTATACTTCACTGATAATCAAAGCATTACTTGTAAAATAGACGACTTTAAGGCATCTAAAAAGAAAGTAAATGAAGGGGTGTTTTAGAGAAATAGCCTTAGTATCCATATTGGCTTGTGAACAATGATTTTGTCATTATTCCTCATACTATGCCAAAATATTGGATCTCGTTATCGTCTTATTTTAATTTTGATTATAGCTTGATTCCACACAGTATTTCGGTACAAGTATGGAATTTTCAGCATGTGATGTCGGTAGCCCAAATTTTGCAGGCCGACCATAGATATCAGGTGTGCGTCGGCTGGGTGTCGAAATCCTCACCATGTGAATGGTCGGCGACAGTCCTAACCGCTGTGCCACAATAAGAATTACTGATATCTTATATATAATTAAAAAGCTATTCGCTTACTGCTAATAAACTAAAATTTTCGATACAGCATTCAGTTTTCATAACAAAGAAACAATCATCAATTTATCCGTATACACTGACACATACATACACTCCCACCCCATTTTCTTTCCCTGTTTTTGACGTTGAAATTCATTGACATATGAAGTTTATAATTAAACGGAAGAAAAAAAGCCCAATTTGAATATCAACCATGAGTATTCATTATCACATCTTTATTATTATTATTCATAATCATTTACTTTGATATCTAAGGTTCAGTTTAGTACCATATTTATACATATTATCACATACACATGTTCTAACCACTTAGCAACTTAGACAGGAATTCAGTGACGCGTGAATCATAACTTCTAGTTGACGAGTTGGCCTTATAGCACTGAGATCCTGGTTTCGATCCCTGGTGGGGTCATGCGGACGCATTACTAGACAGACTCCAACTAGGATAATACGGCTGTCTAGTGCTCTCTGGTTTTCAATAATTCTTTAACTGTTGTCGACTAGTGACGAAATGTAAACTGAAACTAATTCACATCTCTACAAAACCCATAATCTAGTGTGTTTTCTTAATTAATATGGGTATATAATAGTAGAACCTGAAGACTAAGTTATCGAAAAGAGTACTCTTTGTTCACTAATCATCGTTTTAAGACCAAATCATTTGTTATATTTTTTCTCTTCTCATAGAAGAGGATAAACCTGGAAAATCAGTATTATGAAGTAAAAGGGAACATAATTTTTTTCATGAAGATCATTAAATGATTCAAGGAAAAACAATCGTTTCCCACCTGGGGTCTTAACTCTGACTGACTGGATTCAACATAGAACTTTGCACCGATGTGCAGCAGTTCAAGTCGCCACACTTCAACCAGCACACAAAGCCAGAGAAGAGGAAAAAAAATAAAAATAAATGTAAAACAAAGACAGTAAACAGAGATTTGAGGCAAAAAGAAAAGTAATATCGAAGGACAATATAGTTTTATTGGGTATTACAATATCTGTTATGTATGAATATTATGCCCTTGTAGACTACAAGCGAATCAAACTTGATGCACTAGCTAATCTGTCCTAATCGCACGTCAACAACAACAACAATACCACCGGGCACGCAAGACAAGCAAAGAAGACTAGACGTTGATACGAGAGCTTTTACTGTCTCTAAAACAGTTGAAAATGTTAAACGAAACTCCGTACTTTTACAGTTAGGAAAATCAATGTCACATTAAAAAAAATATTAACAACCAATGGGAACTCAGTAAATCCAAGCATGCATGTATGAAAAATGACCAATCATGCAGGTGCGAAAAATCAATATTGATGAGTCACCAGTGCATATATCAAAATCACAGGGAGTGAATGCATCTGAGCTATTGACAACGACGATTTTCAGCCATATCACTAATTGTCTCCAGCCATCATTAGGTTTTACCATCCCGATGACCCCAACCAGCCAACTAGGAGGTTTACATCTCCCTACGTGCTGCTGGCTGCCTTAAACTAACTGTTGTGGATCTCACTGACTGATGGAGCCATGTTTTGGTTTGACCACCAATAGTTGGCTCTTTCCCAACCTGACCCTATGTCAGCTGACTAACATTGCCCATTGTCGAGGAAGGCGATGGATGGCTAGGCATGCGTAACTCATGTCCTAACCATCTCAGTCGATGTAACTTCACAGGCTCGTCTAATGATTTCCCTTCGTTACCTAGCACTCGACCAATGCCTCACCTCAATATTGCTCACCTAATATACCATAGTCCTGTAGCATCATCTTACATTTGGCGGGAACGAATCGCATTTTTAACTCTGTAGTCAATAGAGCTATCCACCAAATAAATATGCTGGAAATTCGTCTATGGTCATTATTTTTGACTACAGTTTTCAGGTGCTATTAGTGAAAACACATTAAATCACTTCTATAGTCAGATTTAAACCTTTTGATTTCTCAACAAGTGGACAGTGTAATGCTGACAACTTGAGGATCACTTATCTGAGTCACGAATCAACACAATGTTCACCATTAATCGATAGCCGAAAATAACCCTTTATATTTCAAGTTTCGTCAGCAAACAGTATATTTTATCCATAGAATTTAACACTGAAATCCTTCATTTGAATGTACGTGCGGACTGGAGCATAGCACGAAAGTGTTCTTCGTTAGCCTATGAACGACAGTATTCTCGATTGGTAAGGAAGCGTAAAACACAGTTAATTTATGAACATAACTTTATTAAATATTATTGGCAATAATGATAATGGTAATAATAACTGTAATAGTGAAACATAATAAAATCTGTTTGTTTAACACGACAAAAATGGGAATTTTTAGTTGAATTCAATGCAGGGAATTGGGATGGGTGGGGATAAATTCACAATACAACAGAAATAAGCGAAAAAAGGGGGATAAATCTACGCCGTGTTAAACAATAATAATTATAGGAGCAGGCGGAAACAATTTTTGAACAATATTTTTTTTGTTTTTTTGAATGATATGATTTCATCAAAAAACGAAAATAACTAACCAACTTCTAACACATTCCTTAGTATTATTGATCTTCTAAAATAATGAAAAATAAGAGAAAATATAACGAGTTGATTGGTATAAATTAACATAGATTTAGTATATACCGTATAGTTTTTTGAAAAATGAACACTTCTTGAAATATGCAAACACTTACTGTTTGAGTGCTAAGGATACTATCCACTTAGAAATGGAGTAGTTTATCCGATGGACTACAGTTCCACCGATGGAATAGTAATGTCACATTTCCAATCGTCAGTTCGTCGCCTAAAACGATGTACTAAGTAAATGTCTGCACTAGTCAGATACAGCTGGAATAATTACTTAAGTATACAAACTATTTCGAGACAGTTGAGAGTAACCGTGACAAAGAGCTATGCATTTGACTGATGTTGGCTAACAGTGGAGACGCTCATTTTTTCTTATTTGTGACTCATCCACTGTATGCCCTTACCCAAGTGAAGCAGTAAAGTTCTGTACAAAAATACAGTAAATACATAAGCTTCACATAGCATAAAATACCGATGACCTTGACCGGAAAAAAAATTCACTTTGACCTGTCACCTCCCTCTGTATACAACATGCATATGTTTATATTGATAATCTTAGTCACTAAGGTGACTCATCTAGGTTACTAGGTTGAGTGAATTTCATTTCATAAAGCAGTCAACTATCAGGACTGCAGATATAAACAAATAAACAAGTAGAAAACATGCTTTGTTTATTGTATTTTATTATTTGGTTAACTAATAAATAGTTAAAGTAAACATGTTTAAACAAAAATATTTTCAGACTGGAATAGCGTTTAGTTTCCAAGTTTAGATTGAAAACCAACCTATAATTATGACTGAATTTAATGTTGGCAACACACGAAACTCTGAGTAGAATTTATTAATTATAGAATGTTGTATTGTGTCTTAGTAACAAATTAACTAGAACAGTGATGATTAAATCAGCTTACCATTTGGACAAGGTGGTATACTGACAACAAATAAGACAAACTAAATATTAAAATGAATAGTGATTTGATTAACATAAGTCAATCCACACTATTTAATGATACTGTAAGCTTAAAGTGACTGGATTTCTTTGTAGCGATATTCTGTCACGATTAGTGTACTTTCATTCCCGTTCTCCAAGTAACGATGTTATTCGAATCTTACTTTTCAGTTTGGAAAATTTTATTAGCGTAACAAGGTTGATTTCTTTACCAACTAAATTCGGTTAAATGACCAGCAGCGAAACGTCATGTTAGGCGGCAGTCAAGTTACCATGGCTTCTGAACTATAACTTTTGTCAATATACAATATACCGCTGGTAACACGCTGGGCTTGTAACTCGTAAGTCGTGTGGTCGACCGTGGTGAGGTTATAGCTGCCTACTGGTGATGATTCCGAAGTTAGGAGATACCTGATATTGTTTTGTGACTAAATAGGAAACAAACCAACACTAGGGGAACAGTGAAAATCATATTCGAGTTTTGTGGGTAAAAAAACATATGGATGTATTGCTGAAACTCTCTAGAAGGCCTATTTCTGGGTAAATAGTATCAGCTTATTAAGTGAACAATGGAGATTACTTAGAGCTCATGTGTAATTACAAACATATGGGAGAGAAGTGAACTAAATCATACACAGGAAGACAATTTAAAGCTTGCTGTGAGTTGCTCGGGTAATTCTTATTTCAAGTATGCTTATAATTACATAAGGATAAGCATTTTCTTTATTATTATTGTGAAGACATAACATCTATTCAGCTATTATCCCACATGTCAGTTAAAGCACGTGGAAGTCATCAGGGGAAACATTGTTAGAATACAAAGGCGTGTGTGTGTATATTATATTAGGAAGTTATCTTTGTCTGTCTCTAATTCAATATGTGTCTATATTTGATCTAATACACGTGCGTGAACTGAGTGAGAACAAACAGACCTTTTAATTAAGAAAAATGCATAAAGACCAGATGGAATAAACACGGGAAGGGGGAGTAAAGATAAAAAGGAATCCCGCCATATGGTACAAAAATATGGGGGAAGAATTTTCCTCCTTTTAATTAATTATAATAAGGATAGAGGTATGAAAAGAGAGGGGAGAAATGGGCACGATCCCTTCTTTTGCTCTGCCAATCAAAAAACTATCGTGAATAAAGGAATATTTTCCAGACTTAGCAGGGGATTGAATTAATCATAAACAACACAAAGGAAATCTAATTATTCTATACATCTGTCTTTATTTATTATTCAAGTAAATGAGTCATACATAGTCTTTTTCTTTTCCCCAGCGGATTACTTAAGACGTGTTTGGTGAAAATAACGGAAAATATGAAGGGGAAAAGTGTAATGAAAAATTTATTTCTTATGGGAACTTGTATATGGGCTGCTGCGATAGGTGTCTTGTTAGTTTTAAGGGTGGATCTTATATCCCAGTAGCTTAGTATTCAATGGTTTAGCTGTGCAACTGTTCCAGATTTGAATGAAATGAGCATTTTGAATTCCACTGTTAGCCACCACTACTTCTTAATAACAGTATGACAGTATTTGCTTAACTTGCATTTTCGATCGATAGTAAATCAATAAGATTCAGCAAATATGCAGTTAGTAAGACTTCATTTGAATGAAATATTGATTTCATACATTTATTCCCCTTAATGAATTTGAACAAATATTGATTTAGTCTTCAAGTTACATGTAATCCTACTTCACTAATAACGAGTTAATGTAAACAGTCAGTGGGAAAAAAGACTATGAGTGCTCACTTGTAATTAGGAAGATTTTCACTACTTTTACGTTTACAACTGAAGTTAAAATGCTCTGGATAATAATATAATTTAGTTCAGAGACAAAACTGTTCAACTGACCGGTAGAACTAGGATCATACCTGCTAGTAACTAATTTATACTTGGTATCGAATTCTACGGGCATTTATTACTCAGTACATAATATGTCACCATAAGAATAAATAATATCTGCATGAGAAAAAAAGGTAGATTTAAAGAAACTTACTTTTAATTTAAGGAATTATCATTTCATTGATTGCCGTCGTCTTTTAACCGCGAAGTAATCTACAGAATAAAAAGCACATAAAGAGAAAATTTGTAATACCATAATATTACTTTGTTTCACAACTGAAATAGAATGGTCATCTAATACAGGCATACAGTAGTATTGCAACTAACACCATTAGTTTTCTAATAGTTGTTCTCTGTTGCATGCTACGAGCAATCTCTAATATGTGTATTTATTAGTATGGATTTATTATGAATTTAGTATACTCTTGTCCCCTGTACTACTAAGCTTCAGAAGAAATCTTGAAATCAGAGTATTACGAACTTATTTCTACTTTCCCTCGTCAATGTCTCATTTTGTGTATAGATTTACGGATCCCAGATTTTGCAGTCCAATTTTCCTAGAATTAAAAGTTAATTAAGTAAAGGCTTTCCTACTTCGTTTTCAGACACTTATTATAATTTGTAAACCAAAACATTGAGATGAAGGTATGTTATAACTTGATGCGATGAGAGTAAACTAAGTATTACATACTTTTCATTGCATCAAGTGATTACTGGTGTAAAAAGATGTACTCAAGTATAATGCCAAGCCTTCACTACACTACTGTTGCCTTTTCATTATTTTACCTTCATGCCCAGTGGACACGACTTGGAAAACATAATTACTAATATACTTTTTAGAGTACTAGGCACATTTTGATGGATAACTCCTGGAGAAAAACAAAAATGAGAAATATACTGAATGGATAAGTTCGCAGTAAGATTAGGCACATGTCATATAGTTGTCTGAGAGTAAACAGATTATTCATGGTTGTACTTTTTCCTGCCATATATTTGGACACGTCTACGACAGCCTGTGATTAGATAAGTAAGTGTAAAGTGCAAGCCTGCTATTAATTCATAAGATGTGAAGATAGCTCAACATGTGTAAAATAATTAGCTTAAAACTTCAAGTCAACTGTTTTCCCCATGATCGATCAACCATAATAAACAAAGTGTAACCAATCAGCAGAGGAAAGTAAGGAAGGAAAAGAAGGGATTTCTTTCCAATCTTATATTACACCACTCAAATATTAATTTAAAAAAGTTAAAAGTTATACTGTCATAGAGAGAAAAAAATAGAGAATTACCTGTCACTTTAGGTCCAGACTTCTTTAAACTTAATCGATCAGATTTAATCAGTTTGGTTGAATGTTGAGGATTTGAGCTAGAGGCCAATAAACCATGATTCTTGTTGTCCGAGCGAATTATGATTGGCGCAACAGCTGTTACTGATGACTTGACAACACTTGCTGATGACAAAGGCAAAGATGATGAAATATTCTTCTTACATGGTGTTGATGATGATGTTGGAGGTGGATGTGACACAGCAGTCGTTGTATCTACACACATAGGGATAGGCTTTTGATTATCATTGAGCACATCATTATTAGTAAAGTTATTCGTTAAAACAACTGTGTAAGAATATTCCCCGATTTCACTTTGTGTATTCTTTTTAAAAAGTTCCATATGCGTTTTTTGTGCTACTGATACTGGAAGACGTCGGAATGCCTTCAGCTTTCTTGGAGGCCTGGTATAGAAGCTTGGAGCTGACTGAATAGGTTCCAAGATGAATTCGTTGGTTTCATGCTTCTGCACATTTCCATTGTGTAATTGATGAATGGAAAGAGGTTTACGAATTTTCTTCTCTGGTAAGATGTTTGACGGCTTGAAATTCCATTTACTTTGGAAACGATCGAAATCTTTGTGTATAATCGTCTCCAAAGTTTGCTGAATTCGTATACGTGATACGGGTTCGCCAAACAATCTTCGACATAACTGAACAGGTGCAGTAACGGTAGTACCAACCGACATTTTGCTAACAAGTAACAATAAACCAACCGTTCAGTTCGTAGAATATATATTGGGAAAGAGCTTTTAAATGATTGGTCGAGATATTACTTAAACCTGATTGGTCGGTGGAGGGAAAATTTCTCTAATACTTATACTACTGAAAAACTATTTAAGTAAAAACAAATTATTAAAGAAAAATAATACAAATTATTCGTACTTATGAATTTATATAATTGTTCTCACATTAAAGACTCAGAATTTTATTGAAAGATCTCCATTCATTGTCCATTTTTCGGAGAAATAGAGGCAAACAAAGTGAAGGTACATACAGCTCACATGTGTTAAATAGAATCAAAATACATCTAGATTCCTGACTCTCAGAAACCATTATATTGGATTAAGTATTTACATAACTCAATTTTCTGCAGGGTATACTATTATTTTATTTTAGAAAATAAACAACTTTCATTTCATCATTCTGAAGACACATGAAAAAAGAATGCACTTTTCAACAGATGTAAGTATTTCTCACTGACTCTGCGAATATACGGAAGACTTTCCACATATCTTATCAAAACTTAATAATACTGAATGCATCACTTCGGAATGAGATAATCTAGAGTAAAGTCCTTCCCTCTCTGGAGGGAAACTTGCTCTTTTTGGCATTCTTCAAAACATTTATTCAAAAGAGAGAATAAAACAAACATTATAACTATTTAATTCAATTTTAGATTTTCTTGTCGATTGACTGGAATGAAGGTATGTCCGGGTGACGAGTTCCAAGTAGGATGAAATGCACATCCTGGATTCCGCTGCTATTCACCATCCACCAATTAGACATCATAACTGTTGCTTAGTAATTTCGGTCAGTATGCTTACATAACATCTTTTGCTTGAATTGTATTCAAGTACTAAAACATAGTAGTAAAAGAATTCATAGAGAAACAAATCTATCATTTGTGTGGTATTATGCAGTTATCGTCAGAATGCGATAGACTTATGAGTATCTAGGTGTATCATACTTAACTTTCGTACAGTTTTATTCAGTCTATCGTATAAAAGTCCTCCTGTTACTATTACCTTACAACTACTGATAGTTTGTTATGAAATGAGCAAGTGTTTTTTCTTTTAGTTCAGATTTCTAAGATGATCAGTCCATTTACCAGTGCAGAAAAGGATGATTAAACTATGAATGTTGAACGTGGTTACATAAAATAGAAGCTTTATCCAGAAAAGTTAGTGCATAAATAGACACTGAATATTATAAGCATTATTATCAATCGTTTGTTATATTAGTATAGGAGCGTTAGGTATGTAGTCAAAAATCTACTTTATAAAACTAAATAAATAGCCGTTTTCATTCTTCCTACCATTAATGTATTGTTGCCGCTGTTCTTATCATTTTTAATTAATTAATTAATTATTACTATTACTGCAAACATCATAAAGTCCCTGAATTTACCTTTAATTATCATCACTGAATCATATAAACGAAAAGGGTAGTAGGCATCTTTATCGATGATTAATAAAAAGGTGATGAATCATAATAGATATAAAGAATGCTCTCAGTTGCACACATTTTCTTCATCATAGCGCTCTCAACTTCGCATTGCCTCTTTAAGCTGAGAAGTAGCATGCTAAAAAAAACAATAATTTACTGAAGTCATGTTTACAGTAATTGTCTAGGTTACTGCCTGGTGTCTAATCAACTCAGCTAAGAGACCGACAGTGTAATGTAGTAAATTGGAGACTGACAAGAGTTAATCTTTTCGAGATATTACGGCTTACAATAGTATACGGAAAAGAAATTTTACAGAAAAGTATTATGCTGAATTTAATTAATAACAGTGATAAGACATTGGAAACACGAATCATGGAAAGATTTCAGAAGAAAGCTCCACTTCTTGGACAATTAATAAATGACACCCTAGTAAATAAGTCTGAATTTCATAGAACCACCTTCCTATGGGCTGATGATTTAAAGTAGCCTATTGATATGACTGCACCAAAGGTTTACCTTATCTATACCACTGGGTAAAAGATAGCTGGATATGTGTGATTCATATGTCAAGTATTTCTATCGATACAGATTCAAAACTCATCGACCTATTCACATATCATGTGTCCGAGGAGCAGCTCTCGACTTAGATTTGACAGATAAAAATTATGAATGAGAAGTTTTTCAAAAGAATGGATGATGAACAAAGAGTACTCTTTTCGATAACTTCATCATCAGGCTCTACAGTTATATATACAGATTATAGTGAATGAATGAATTAGTGTTATGAACAACATTAATGTTTAAATAAAATCGAATCAATAATATTGATAGATTACAGCTCAACAGCATCAACATAAAATAAGCTGGATGTCAGAAAAATTAGGAAAGATAATATTACAAATTCATGAATTTATAGTCTCTACTGAAGGCCAGCCAGGGCAGTAGTAGGGGCTGGACTTGTTTCTTTTGAACACAAAGCACTGGTTGTTTGAGGCAAATTGCAATAGCCTCTGTTTGGAGCATGCGGTTCTTCGATGATTTTGGCAGTTTATTAGGCACCCGGTAGATTATGGAGAAGGATTCTTCCACGCTGGCTTTGTGGCCGGCCGGTTTGTACCAGATGGTCCAATATCGAACTGTTAATGGTTTTAACTACACTTTTACTTAGCCATAGTGGGAAATGTGGCTGAGGGTCTTCACTAAATTTCTTTTGTACTTGATAGGAACGAAGCTGTGAAAATGTGTATATTGTCCTGTTCAAGTACTTTTTCTATGCAAATTTCTTTTTATGCTACCAGTAGGATATCCAGAAAGGTAATTCTGTTTTGGAATTCCTCTTCGCATGTGAATTCCATAGCTGAATGTACTTCATTGAATTCAGCAATTATTGTACTCCTATCAGAACCATTATCACAAAGAGTGAAGGTATCATCCAGATATCGGCAATAAAATGAGAGCTTACTGATAAGGTTGTTCATAGATTTTTGTGTAACACATAGAAGAAATCCGAATCATTTCAACGTTCTTCATGAAACAGTGGGTTTTTAAGTAAGAAATTCAATTCGAATAGGTTGCCGATAACAACTGTCTCCATCAGCAAGGGAATAGTGACATCATTTATCTTCACTACTAACTGTACTCATTTTAGTATTCAGGGAGATATTCTTCACTGTCTTAGGCACTGGATTTTCAGCCGAAGGATTCCAGTTTCGATTCTTGCTCCACCTAATTCAGACTGCGTGATATCACCAGCTCTCACGCTATAAATTTGGCTAACACCTTGGTACACAAAAAAATAACTGAGATAATTAAATCAAAAAAGTTAGTATTATGAACATATTAAATTTACACCTGAGGAACTGTTGTAGATAGTAGTAATCAATATGAATGTCATCAAAATCATAGAAGGCTACATATCAAACACTGACACAGCTTAAATCATTACTTGGAGAATGTATTGGATACATTGAAATGCATGCAGAAAATGGTAAAGATGTGACTTCTCTACAAGTGATTCTTGCTTGTTTATCAGAAGTAGATAAAACAAAAGTAGACAGTTCTGATACCTATACGATTTAAAAGTTGTTTATTCACACATCAAAAAGCCGAACATAATTAGAAACAGAGATTTTCAGGGAATTCAAGTGTTGGTTTACAGAGATTTGATTTGGTTGGTTACAGAACTTCATCATGAGCTGACATCGGTTAGAGAACCATTGGGAACCACCAGAGAGTACTGGACAGCTGTTTCGTCCTAGTTTTGGGCTCTTGACCAGTACGCACCCACCTCACTGGGGTTCGAATCAAGGACCTTCCGGTTACAATGTGAGCTCGTAGACCATTAAGCCACTGGGACTTGATCCGATGGCCGGTGAATTCCAACTTCTGCTAATTCACGATCTAGTGCGACTATTTGTCCTCACACCCGACCTGCTGTATCATACTGGTCACGACTACCCACTAGAACCCAGGTAACTAACTACCTGGCTGAATAGGGCCAGTCGCTAGGGTATCTAAAGTGATTTTTTAAACAGAAAACTGTAATATTGGTGATATGTAAAGTAAAATAATAAAAAAAACTAGTACACATATCATTTCACACACTTACAATTCTATTTAGTTGTTTCCCCTTCAAGAAATTAACAATTTTCAGTTATCACTCTCATTGAGTTGATTTGTATGAACAGCAGATTGTATCTAAGCCATTAACTCTCTAGACTACCGAAGACTTCTGTATTCCACACTCAAGAGTTTCTCTATGTTGACTGGCTTAATATCTTTTCAGTTTTTTTAAAGTGTTTAGTTAAAAAACAGTCTCTAAACTGATTAATAATCAACCTTTTACTAGTAATAAATATTCTCTTCTATCTTTCATATTAGATGAGTGATGTTCAGAGAAAGACATGCACAAAAACACATCAATGTATTGGATTTAAAAAAAAGAAAGGAAAGAAATTATTTCAAGCAGTAATTGTTTGAAAGACAATTCAGATGGATTTGTTTATTTTTCTTCATCTATGCCTGGGTTATGGTGTATAGCAATATTGTCGACTCTCATTTTAGACTGACCTGTCATGTCACTCGAAGTGTATTTAGTTTACAAAAAGTAGGCAAAGTTTAGAGAAAGTGAAAGAGAAAAAAAGGCATGGTTACACTTTATTGTACTTCAAAGTCATCAATGATGCATTTATGTTACTACCTCTTGTCTGTAGTGTATAATCCATTGTTCATCAGACTGTTATTGACAGGTGAAAGTGAAGTTAAATGTATTTATTTTCACTAATTAGTGAAAAAGACTTATTCATTTATATGTGTCTATCGCAAACTGTTGGGAAGGCATGTGAAAGTAATGGTGACTGTTAGCTTGAATCAATTATTTATTATACTGGTTGAGAAGATAATAATGGATAGCTGCGAAAATATTGCTCTTAATACATTCACCTAATCCTACTCCAAAAATATGGTGGAGATATGTGGATGACACTTTCACAGTGTTAAAAACAGAACATATCTCTAGCTTCTTGA